CTAGCGGGAAGGTAAACGGTGTTTCCGTGTGCGGCTCTGGCTCGCCAGAGCAGCGATGTCACGCTGGCCACGTGACCCGGAAGTGTCTCCGGACAGCACTGGCTCCCGGCCTATAGAGTGAGATGAGCGCACAACCCTAGAGTCTGGCAAGACTGGCCCGTACGGGCAGGGGTACCTTTACCTTTACCTTTAATAAATACATCATGTGGCAACATTCAGCTTTTGTTTGGCAATTTGACATACGTGGTTTCCTGTACTCGTTTATAAGGAATATGTAAGAGAACTTTTCTGAAACCCAAGCCACGTAGATGTTGAAAGTCAATCCTACTAGTTAAAGTGAGCAGCATTAGCTCCTTAAAAAGAAAAAATCACTTTCAGTGGAAATTACCCTGCAACAAAGACTACGAAAATAAGTCCTATTTTTTTCTTTTTAAAAGAGCGTGATTTATTTGTTTCTAAAGGAGTAGTAGCAAGGAAGAAGCAGGTAATTATTAAGAAACATCCATTTCAGGAAAAAGTGGTAATTCTAATCTTTGGCAAGAAAGGGGAAAATGATCCTTTCTGTAGCCCAAGAAAATTATACCCTTGTGGGGTTTTAAAATGGATAGCATACCAAAAAGGACCTTCCTCCTCCCATCTACTGATATTAAAGAATGAAGATATTACTTTTCAGATCAAAAGAAAAGAATATCTTTTATATATAATCTTTTTTCTGCTTAAAAAAAGCTATTTTGTCAATGTATGTGTGTTTTGGTCTCTAAGGACAGGGATATATATAGTTAAGGCACATGAGACGAAAAGGAGAGAAAATGTATATGCACTGCACATTCTTTCCAGTATTACAACTCTATTACTAGTAAAAGTGAAATAAAAAGTGACTGAGAACTTGCATTTAGTTCAATGAGAAAAACCTTTAGTGATGAACCTTTCCATAGTAGTTTTGTATTCAAAATCTATTCACTTATTATGCTAATTAAATTTACACATGCCTAGCAAAGTCCGTATCTATGCAAACTTTGTGTTTATAGTTGCTCATTTTTTTTGTTTTAAGAAAACAGTGATTGTTGAAAGACACCTGTGCTCATGTGTGTTATCTATAAACGCACAAATTTAGATCTAAAAATTGAAAGGATGGGGCGCTTGTGTTATATTTAAAACAAAATATCTACTTGGTTCTTTGAGATATACATACACCAGTGTACACATAAATATCAGATATTAATATAAGCATTTTGAGAAAGAAATGGCATGCACGACACACTGCAGCTCATTTCAGAAATCATTCTCCTACAAACCATAGTATGATCCGCTTTTTCTGGCGTATTCTAACCTGTTGGGCAAACTATGGTTACTACTAACCACCAATTTTCATCAAACCATGATTTGAAATGACAAACTACAGTTAGTGCTAGGAGGCAAGGGAAGATGAGTGTCTGTGTCATGCTCCCAATCCACCAAGCTATGGTTCAGGTGATCAGGATATGACAACTGCAGTAAGTCATCTGTTCCAAGGTTTGTTATTGTAGAATTTGTAATTTGTATGCCAGTGCTACTGCTGGTGGGAAAAGAGACAGAGGACAAACAGGGCACTGAGAGGCAGGAGGCATATAGCAAGCCACATGGCATGAAGAAGTCATGCTAAAAGCCTTACCATTCCCAATAGGGGGAGTATACTATTTCAGGATTTTCCTTAATAGGGTCATTCAGGCATACTGGTATGTACTAGATTTGCATGTGCAATGCATTTTTTCTGTGTTTACTTATTTTCAAAATATTAAGATACACTTAATCTATTATAGTTTCTGTGTTTTATTTGTAGATTTCATATATATATATATTGGGTCATTCCCATAGGCGCCGACTCCATGGGGCTTGAGGGGGCCCGAGCCCCCTCAAAAATTCGTTTGGGGGGGCTCTGCCCCCCCAATAATCTCCGGCGCCCCTCCAGCAGAGCGCCATCGCCGCCCCTCCCCCAGCCCAAAATGCACAGGGAGGGGCGGGCTGCATGCCTCCTGCCCTCCCTCCCGAGCAAAAGCTCCACCCAATTTCCTTTGGAGCTGATTAATAGGCGCAGCACGCTCTCCCCTATTCGCTCACGAGGAGGAGGCACCACTTTATTTGCATATTCATGAGCTTATTTATTATTCATGAGCTTTCCCGGGCCCCCCCAATATTTTTTATAAGTCCGCGTCCCTGGTCATTCCATATCAAGTGATCCAACTATTTTACCTCATGTCATCCAATTTTCTTAATATTTTGTACACTTGTTGAATGATCAAAACTAAGTTTAAATCTAAAATTTTAATTTTTATCTCATCTCACTTGTGAGTTATGAGGGTTTGAATATATATATATATATATAAAATACCTTGCCAGACTACACAAAAGCCTTAAAAGCTCAGCCCAGAATTGAGATACCGTACATAAAAACTAAAAACACCAATCTTTTCTGAACTTCATGGGCTTTAACATGATATGTTACATGATGTACTTACTCCAAATTATAAATTTAAGTTACAAAAATTGAGTATTTGAAAAAGTGGTTAAAAAATTAATATGATTAAAAATTCCAAAAGATGTATTGATTATTTAATATTTCTAAGAGCTACCTGTAAAATTTCATCTTGGGATCTCAATGGGATGACATTTTTAGAAAGTATTTTGTACTTACATGTACAAAATAGGAGAGAGGATGAGTAATGGAAAGGGGGATGGTTTATGTGCAAGAGAGTTGAGAAAAGTGATAAGGCGGTAAGGTGGTAAAAAGGGAAATGCAACAGAGAGAAAGCAGGGTGAAGATGAAAGCAGGGATATTAAAGCATCTACCAAATAAGTGGTGTTTTCATAATTGGGCAGATGAAAAAGAGGCTAGGCAAAAGGGAGAGGACAAGCATGGACATGGGGGTGAAGTTAAAAATGGGTGCAAAGCAGGGTTGCAAAATAGAAAAGTGTGCCAGAAACAAGTTTGGGAAGTGGGCTTGGTCATTGCAAGGACTATGAAGGAAAGGTCTAGGGGGAATGACGGCAGAGCTGGGGAGCGGAGTAAGTAGAGGCACAGTCCCTAGTATGTGCTACCATAAATCCGTGCGATGGGGTTTGCTCCCGTCGCTCTGTCCCAGCTTCTGCCAACCTAGCATACCAGTGCAAGCAGATAAATAGGTACTGTTGCAGCAAGAAGGTAAACAGTGTGTGCTTTAGCACGTGTCACAGTGTCCCATTGTGCCAGAAGCTGTTTAGTCATGCTGGCCACATGACCCGGAAAGCTGTCTGGACAAATGACAGCTCCCTTGGCCTGCAAAGTGAGAAGAGCACCACAACCCAGTCACCTGGACTTAACCGTTTAGGGGTCCTTTACCTTTACCATAAGACGTCGTAATAGTTTCCAGCTAGGATGGCTTTAAAGGGGGATTAGACTATTTGCACCATCTCCAATATCAGAGGCACCATGCATCTGCATAGCAGTTGCTGGGGAACACAAGAAAAATAATGCTATTGCCCACATGACCTCCCTAGGGATGTGGATGGCACTGTGGTCTAAACCACGGGGCCTCTTGGGCTTGCTGATAGGAAGGTCGGCGGTTTGAATCCGCTCAATGGTGGTGAGCTCCCATTGCTGTGTCCCAGCATCTGCCAAACCAGCAGTTCGAAAGCACACCAGTGCAAGCAGATAAATAGGTACCACTGCGGCAGGAAGGTAAATGGAGTTTCTTGTGCACTCTGACTTCCATCACGATGTTCTGTTGAGCCAGAAGCTATTTATAGTCGCCTTTGACTGGACGAACTCATCCAGGGGTCCTTTACCTAGACTAGATGGGTATGACCCAGAACTCTTATGTTCTTATCCACCCAACAAATTATTCACATTGATGACTGCCAGAATGGATGGCTTTAGGAGACAAATTCAGAGACGACTTTCAATTGCTACTGTACTAGCCACAATGGTTCGGTTCTGCCTTCTCTGTTGGGGGCACTATACCTCTGAACCCAGTTGCTGGGAATCACACGAGACTCCTGTTGTACTCAGGTCCTGGTTGCAGGCTTCCCATAAGCAGTTGGCCACTTTGAGAACAGGAATCTGGATTAGATGTGCATTTGGCCTTATCCTTCTGGGCTCTTCTTACGATGTGATGTTTTATAAATAAATCAAACATTATTCAAATGTTAGCCCAATTCTCAGTTGTGTACCCAAAATATCCTAAAACTTGTTACCATCTTTGGGACACTCGAATCAGTGGCGTAGCGTGGGTTGTCAGCAAGGGAAGTAATTTGCACCCCCTAACCTGTGGATTTTAGCACTCAGGCAGAGAGCTGCGAGTGCGCCGCCCCCAGATGTTGCACCCGGTGCGGCCGGCCCCCCCTGCACCCCCCACGCTACGCCACTGACTCGAATTGGCCCTAATAATGAATCAGTTAGTTGTGCCGCACACCACTGCAGTAAAGTATGCTGGGAATCAAGAACATGGTTTTAACATTGCGGCACCAGATCTTTCGAACTCATTTCCTTTAAAAGTGCAACAAGCCCAAACACTCTCATGTTTCTGACCCTTGTTGAAACCCCTTTTCTCCCATATCTCCCCACATAAGTCTATTTCTGCATTTCAAATTCCCTGTTGGGTTTTTATGCTGCAATTCCCTTTCATGATCGGTATTCTGTTTCCTATTCCACTTCTGGGCATTTTCTGAACATAGTTTCATAAATCCTGAAATGAAACAGATATATTAACCTCGTTTATCTTTTCCTGGGCTGGGCGGAGAGGGGGAAACTTTTCTGGTGCGTACACAGATCGCAGTTCAAGGCAAGGCACCCCGCGACCCCAACTCCGAAAATCCCAGCGCCGGGGGGGGCTCGACGGCTTTAACAGCTGATGCCCCCTTCCTACACCTCGGCGCTCCTTCTCGCACACAAACCGAAGTCACGAAAATGAAACTCTGCAGAAAAAGGGGCTGGGCTCCCGGGCCGCGCGAGGGCGGCTGGCTCTGAATGAGCAGAGCAGGCGAGAGGGAACGAGCACCGCCGAGGCCGCCTTCTCCCCGCTCAGCCCCACACCAGAGGCCGACTTCCACCTCGGGTGGGCCCGCAGCGGCGGCGAGCGAAGGGCGGAGCAGCGGAACCGCGCATGAGCGTCCCTCATTCCCCGGCTGTAAGGCGCGAACCGCAGGGGTCGGGGCAGAGGCTTTATTTTGGTGAGGGCGCTTCACCCAGACGCGCCACCCCCGCTCTTGGCGGCGGCGGCGGCGAGCGGAAGGCTTTCCTGCAAAACCGCCGTTCCCGCGCTCTGCGTTTGAAACTGCCGCCGCCGCGCTTCGCCCCCTCCCGCCGGGCCAGCCACCCGTCTGTCCTGAGGGCGTGTGAGGCGGGAGGATGGCGACGAAGCTGACCAAAGCCCAATACGAAGAGGTCGCCCGGTTCCTGGCCCAGGTGCCTCCGACCAGGCAGAGCCTGAGGAAACTGAGGGAGCGCTTCCCCAGGTAAGTCTGCGCGGGGCGCCCGCAGAGCTCCGCCTCCCTCGTCAAGGGCGAGCCCCGCCCCTCGAGGGAAGGAAGCGGCAGCAGGCCTGGGGTTTTATTTCCTTTTTTTAAAAAAAGGGGGGGGGTGAAAGGCGACGGCGGGAGGCAGTTCAGATTTGCATGTTTGCAATGTAAATAAAGGCGCTCTCTGCCTTTTCTTCGGCCTGGGATGCTGTTTTGGCTCGTGAGGAAGCACTGCGAGTAGCAGCAGGGTCTCAAGGGGCGCCATAAAAGTATCACCTGATACGCTGCCAGCGTAATCCCATTTACTTGGGAGTAAGTAAGCCCCCCCCCCATTGATTCCCGTAGAAGATTCACTTCTGAGTAGATGTGATCAGGATCGCGCTCTTAACCATCTCGCTGGATGTCGTGGAGGTTCTGTTTGAGCTGAGCGTTCCTTGGCTGCAAAACTCCTGATCTTTTTTTCTTTCTTTCTTTTTGCATGTAATGCCTTCGTTCTCAGAGACCTGAAGTGAATCGTAATTAATGGTGTTTAATTGATTGCCGGGTACAAGCTTTCCAAAGTTGTGCGCGGTCCCTGTCGCATTAGGCAACCTAAAGTGGGCAACCTCAAGTAGCTGCTTCCCACAGGTTCCTTTCCTTTTTGCTTGTTTCCTACCTGTTGCTTCTCTCCGATTCAAATAATACACCGCAAAGTGGAAAAAAAGGAGTAGATCACCTGCAGAGGTTAGAGTATTGGACACAGCGATAAACACCTAAACAGTTTACAAGAATCAGTTTTAATAATCGGAACTGTTTTCACTGTTACTTGAGCTGTTTTATATAATTTGATGAATTTCAGTAAGTGAGTTTATGTTATGTCTTTAAACAATAAAATAAAACAACAGAATTGGCACTAGGGCTTATACCTTGGTTGGCTGGCCCATTGTTGATGATTACAGTGGTGCCTCGCAAGACGAAATTAATTCGTTCCGCGAGTTTTTTTCGTCTTGCAAAGCACGGTGCCGGGAAAGTTTTGGAAAAGCTTCAAAAATCACCAAAGTCTTTAAAAACCTCAAAAAAGGCTACCACACCGCGTTCTATGAGTTGCTCCTCGAAGTCAAGTTGCAACTGTATTAACGGTGTTAAGAAAAAGGAAACAAACTTGCAAGACGTTTCCGTCTTGCGAAGCAAGCCCATAGGGAAAATCGTATTGCGAAGCAACTCAAAAAACCAAAAACCCTTTCGTCTTGCGAGTTTTTTGTCTTGCGAGGCATTCGTCTTGCGAGGTACCACTGTATTTGCTTCCGTGGGGCTCTTAATAAATAATAATAATTTATTACACCCCGCCCATCTGGCTGGGTTTCCCCAGCCACTCTGGGCGGCTCCCAACAGAATATTAAAAATAGAATCAAACATTAAAAACTTCGTTAAACAGGGCTGCCTTCAAATGTCTTCTAAAAGTCAGATAGTTGTTTATTTCCTTGACATCTGATGGGAGGGTGTTCCACAGGGCGGGTGCCACCACCACTGAGAAGGCCCTCTGCCTGGTTCCCTGTAACCTAACTTCTCGCAATGAGGGAACTGCCAGAAGGCCCTCGGCACTGGTCCTTGCACTTATAACCAAGGGCAGGTACATAGGGGCATAGGAAAGTTGTCTAACACCAAGTCCATGCATTATTGTGGATGCTGACTGACAGCAGCTCTCGTGGGTTTCAGAAGGGACATATAGCTGAAGATGCCAGGGATTGAATTTTGGGTCTTCAGCTGGCAAGGCATGGGCTTTACCACTGAGCTGTGACCCTCCCACCAAGTCCTGTGAGAGAGCCGGTTAATCTAGAATGCACTTTAGAACCTTGATGATGTGCTAGAGAGCTTTTAGCTGAGAGCTGTAGTTGATAACAAATCATGGCCTACTGCTTTCTCTGTTGCACCTGTCCTGTATTTGGTGACCACAAAGTACTAGTTTGGCACTGTTGATTTGAATATTTACTTCACTTGATGAGTCCTGTAGTTTTAAGATGCATGTGTTGATCCCTGAATTAGATGCATATTAAAGGACTTGCTGTAGGCAGTAGATAGTGATGTGAGCTCCGGAGGGTAGTTGGGAAGTGCACAAATGGCTATGGTGTCAGTTTGTTTCTAATGTAAGGTTTATATGCCTTTCACATTGTTGTACTGTGGTGTCCAGAAAGTGGACTTGTATGGACTGTTTAGGACTCTGGTTAATGGTGCAGTGGAAATTGCTGATGTTCTGATGGACTCAAGATGGACATAGATAATGATATCATCGCTTTTTCTCCCATATAGGAGTAGTGTTAGGTAACTGAAGCTGAAGAAACATGAGTCAATCATAATTATGTTGAAGTACACATCTGGGTCACACATAGGTGTACAGTGGTACCTCGGGTTACAGACGCTTCAGGTTACAGATGCTTCAGGTTACATACACTTCAGGTTACAGACCCAGAAATAGTACCTCGGGTTAAGAACTTTGCTTCAGGATGAGAACAGAAATCGTGCTCTGGCAGTGTGGCAGCAGCAGGAGGCCCCATTAGCTAAAGTGGTGCTTCAGGTTAAGAACAGTTTCAGATTAAGAACGGACCTCCGGAACGAATTAAGTACTTAACCAGAGGTACCACTGTACTGTTGATATGAAGAGAACAAATAGTCCCAGTTCTTAGACAGTCAGAACAAACTGGGAAAGTTCAGCTTAGTAGTATAAAAGATGTAACTGCTTCCTCTTGCCTTGCTTGAACTTTAGACCTTGCTTTGCAAAGTTTTTTGTTTTTTTAAAAATCTTCTCTCTGTGAAGTATAGCTCCATTCAGGTGACCATGTACTTGATGAAGTGAGCTCTGTCAAACAAAAGCTTCTATCACAATAAATTTTGCTAGTCTTCAAAATGCAGAGGTATTTTGTTGTGGTTCCAAATAGTCTCATGCTAAAAGCGGATACCTCATCATAATTCTGATTGCATTAAATTACAATATTGAATATACTGGATGCCTCATCCCTGTGTCAGACATAAATAAAAATTAAATAGGTACAGTAAGCCTACAATTTATGTGGGCCTACCTAAACCCAAACACATTGGGTTCAATGGTGGGTGGAATTACCAAAGTCAAGCCTTGCAGCTTCCTTAATGTTTAATATTTTCCCCCACACGCATAAAGCTGAATGTGCGCAAGTTAAATGTAAGTTGTGGGCTTACTGTATTTCCCTCCCAGTTTGTAGTAGTAACCAATACTAGCATCTATTCTGTATTTCCAAACAGAAGCAACATGGTTTTCCTTTTAGCAATGGAACAGGTAACTGAAGCTGAAAGTGCTCAGCTTAAGTCATGGCAATCTATCTTCAAACCCTGGATCTTGCAGTACTGTATAACTGATCTGAATGTATTATCTTTGAAGTCATCTATATTCTAGATTAAAACTGGAAAAAAGATTAAAATACGACCTGTGCCAAAAATTAAATATTGTTTTTCTTGTTCAGAGTTGTGAACTATCCCATATGTCACAGAAATTGCCAGTGTTTGGCCTGAAAAATTCTCAGCTATTGAGATTTTGATAATTAGCAAATTTATTAAAATATGTTACTAAATTCGTATAATTAATGAAATGTTCAGTTGATAGACAAACTGTGTTTTCAAACTATGATATAACTTAAAGGGGAGGAAATAATGAATGGTTTAAGAAACGTTCTGTGCATTTTCTTGGGAACATGCATCCATTCACGAAGCTGGAACTGTGTGGAAATATACAGTTCTATCTTGAATATATCTCTCCTCCAATATGCCTAGACTCTAAAATGAAAATATTGTATCTGTATGTGGATGAGAAATTGCCAATAATGGTAGAAATCCTGATGGTTTTATGATAGATGCAGCTGTCCATTAGGAAATGGCCTGAAACCACCAACTCTCCTTTGAAAGCTCCTGAAGCCTTTTAAATCAAATTAATCTTGAAGCTTCTTGGGACAATTCAGCATAGGCAGAACTTTTCCATCTAGAGCTTCTGATGAGATGAAACTGATGCTGATATTTAAACTGTCAGACAAAGTACAACTTCGTGGAACGTGCCAAGTAAAGAGCCTTTCTTAAAGAAAAAAGAAAACAAAAATGATACTACTAGATAGCTGCAGTGTCGAGCATTAACCCCTGATAGTATATGCTGCATTAAAAAGATGCATTTCAATACTTATATGTGTCCTTAAATAGAGTAAACAGGCTTCCATTTTTAAACAAATTATTCTGGAGTAGTGTAGAAGAATGTGTTGTGAGCTGCAGTCAGTCTTGGTTTGTCCTAGAAACAAGGTTTGCAGTAAATCTTTGCTGTATGGAACTGTTCCATTGGCCCATACTGAAATGATAATATATTTTGAATTAGAAGAAAGAGATGCAAGAATAAGCAGAATATTTCTACTAAAAAACCGATAGCCTTTTATTCTGCCCTCTGTATGATTGTGCCATATATAATCATTATGCGTAGAATTCAATAATAAGTGTTCCTGTGTAAGCTCATTGACATGAATAGGAATTGCAAAGGAGCTGTTCATAATTGATTGTGCCATATATCAGGGGAAGAAATTAAACTCGGCAGTAGAGCGCATGCTTTTTATGCAGAAGGTTCTAGGTTCAGTCCCTGGACCTGGCATCTTCAGGTATGACTACCTAAAACTGGAGAGTCACTCGGGGTTAGCATGTCACAGGAAAGTAGATCCAAGCTACATTGTTATAATGTATAAAATTAAGCCTTCATCTTCATTTGTTGAACTATTGCCTTTACCAGATAACATTTAATACTTCTTTTTGTTAGACATACTAAAAACCTCAATACTCATAGTTAATCTAATAGACAATAGCCTAATAAACAATAAGCCCTGCAGTAATATTAAAGCTATTGTAATGTGATGTATGTGGGGTTTCCCTTCTGGCTGATCTGAAGGCTGTGGCTGTACAGGCTGCCACAGTCCAGGTAGTGAGTACAGTACTAGCTCCTTATTGGGCACATAGCACACTAG